CAAGAGGCATGCCTGTTTGCAGGCTAGGGTAAATTGTTACAAATACTACCACATTTGCTGAAAAAAGTTAGCAAAGTAAGTTTAGAAGAGTCTATTTCTGATAGCACATTTACACCCTGTCACTGACAGAAACATTTTACTACAGCCACATTTTCAATAAGTGAGTAGAAATATAGAAGATAACAGTAAAGTTCATGGGTGGTTTGCATTATTGAGAAGTGAATTTGTTGGGAAGTGTCAGTTGGATATCACTTGCTACAAGCTGTGACTCCGACGTGGGCGTACAGAAGGTGCGTTTTGCGTGGAGGCACCCTGGATCCACCACTGCCAATAGGGCTGTCGGAAGGGACGAAAGAGAGAAAGAGAAAAAATAGCAACGAGGCAATTGCACATATATATATACATATATATATATATATATATATAACCAAGGCATTACTTCACATTTCATGGTAAATTAGACAGTGCAGTGGTAAGTAAAGTTAAGATTCATAATGACCAGTTAAATTTAAGTGGATTGTAGTAAAATAGCCAACAAAGTAGCTAGTACAGCAATGAAGAAGGAACGGTTGTTGAGTGCGTCAAGTGGATTGAAGAGATGTAAAATCAAGAAGCTGGGTTTATATACATTGAAACGGAAAGTTCAATAAGAAGATAAAACTTTGTAAAAAACATTGACAGTTATATACTTAACTGTCTAACGTTTTTTTATAGAATGCCAACCTCCAAGTCTTACCATAAGTGCCTTAATAAGCATGTTGTGGGTCGGCTTGGCAGAATAGCAACTTCAGCATATTTCTGGAAACATCAGCATCAAGCGTAACTTCAGAACCACTAATTGGTCGCCTCATTAATCGAAACATGGGTGGATCGACGTAATCGCACACACCATCAACGTTTGCTGGTCAGTAACTCCATCTTCCCTCCTTCTGTGTTGCCAGGCTCATGTAATATAATATTCTATATTTATTTTGAGGCTCTGTGTTTCATATGCTTTTGAGAAACACTTGATTGGCTGTCACAACTCATAAACTATTGATTAGGAATCAATACAGTACAATTATGAAAAATTTAGGGATTTTCAAACAATCTATAAGCATTTAGAATGTAGCGGCGGAGATGTCTCTAACCAGGTGAGCAGGAAAGTTGATGGGTATTACGGCTAAAAGTGGGGCGATAGATAACAAGACTGGATCAACGATAAGTCAGTCGAGTTTACGTGCGAACACCAAAAGTAATAGTAGGCAATATGAAACTCACAAAATTATGGGTGTTGTTAAAGTTTTGTCCAGGACAGTGCAGTATGCTATAATCATACAACTTACAGTTGAACAGTTTCTGTCAACCAAGTAGGTAACCTTTTTCAAGCAGAAACTAGAGAGATTTTTATTCAACTAGAATATACTGCTACTCCGGAGGATAAAAGAGAATAAAATGCAGCTCTCACTTCGGTATTGTTAAAACTGTGCAGAGCCAATAGTACGGAAGCAGGTCGCGAGTGAGTTTACGCATGCAGATGAATCAGTGCAACCGAAAGCTTCTTTAAGAAGCTGTGCGAACTCATGTAGCCCACCTGCCAAGAGTATTTTTTTAATACTTTTCGAAAGAATTACTTTTGTATTCTTTCAACCTTAAACAGATGTGATAAGTGTAAGTTTAAAAATCAGTATGAGCAGTATTGAGAAGGATGTCTTTGGCATGTTTTGTTACGAGTTGTTCTGGATTCTTTTTTGAGGATACTACGACAATTGAGACCTAGAATTTTTATTATTTGGCAAACTTTGTTGGAAATACTGTCAGAGAGGTTTAGACTGTCCGAATAACGCACGTCTAGACCCGTTACTGATGCAAACGTAAGCTGTGCAATCCTGCTGAGAGTGAGATTAGTTTTGGCACAAATGTCTCCTAAACACATCCGGTCGAAATTCTCAGGATTGAGTTGTAAATTACAACATCTACACTAGTTATCTACATTAGTGTACAGAACATTTCTAATGCGATAAGTACAGTGAAGCATTCTTACATTGAAGGAACAGAGGGTATCCCAGCCAACATGCTGGAAAATGGGAGCAATGATCTGTGTGCTATTCTTCTTAAATTATTTACTATATCACTCTCCATAGAGTGTCACCCTACTATCTGGAAGACTACACATATCATCCCCACAATTAAATATGAGCCTACAACGAATGTTGAAAATTACTTACTTACTTACGCCTGGTACCTCCAGTGGAGCATAGGCCGCCCACCAGTTTTCTCCAACCAACTCTGTCTTGGGATTCTCTCTCCAGTTCTGTCCAATGTTTGTTCATTCCTCTCATATCTTTCTCTATTTCTCGGCGTAATGTATTCTTTGGCCTTCCTCTTTTCCTTTTGCCTTGAGGGTTCCATGTGAGGGATTGTCTCGTGACGCAGTTAGGTGCTTTTCGTAGTGTGTCGTATCCACTTCCACCGCTTCTTCCTGATTTCCTCCTCCACTGGAATCTGGTTTGTTCTCTCCCACAGTTCGTTGTTGCTAATGTTGTCTGGCCAACGAATCTGAAGTATTTTGCGTAGACAACTATTAATGAAAACTTGAATCTCCTGGATGATGGCTTTGGTAGTTCTCCATGCTTCCGCTCCATACAGTAGAACTGTCTTCACATTTGTATTGAAAATGCTAATTTTGGTTTTGGTTGAAAGTTGTTTGGAGTTCCAGATATTTTTCAACTGTAGAAATGCCGCCCTCGCTTTGCCAATCCGAGCCCTCACATCTGCATCGGATCCACCTTTCTCGTCGATGATGCTGCCCAGATATGTAAAGGTGTTAACGTCCTCCAAGGCATCTCCATCAAGAGTGATTTGGTTGGTGCATGTTGTGTTGCATCTGAGAATTTCGGTGTTTCCTTTATGTATGTTGAGACCTACTGCTGCTGCGAAGGCTGCTGCTACACTGGTCGTCTTCTCTTGCATTTGTTGTTAACTGTGAGATAGAAGAGCCAAGCCATCTGCGAAGTCCAGATCGTCCAGCTGCGTCCTAACTGTCCAGTTGATACCGTGCTTCCCTCCAGATGTTGACGTTTCCATAATCCAGTCGATCACCAGAAGAAAGGGTGAGAGTAAGCAACCTTGCCTGACACCGGTCTTCACCTCCAAAGAGTCTGTTAGCTGTCCTTCGTGTACGATTTTGCAGTTGAATCCATCATAAGAATTCCGTATGATGTTGAGTATTTTCTCAGGCACACCGTAGTGTCGAAAAAGCCTCGACAGTGTTTTCCTATCCACGCTATCGAATGCCTTCTCGTAGTCGATGAAGTTGATGTAGAGTGGTGATTTCGCAACTTGAAATAGTCTTCCAGTCTCCCACAATGTACGAACGTTCCATGTACCTAAAAAAATTGGTTGCTCTGGTTGTCAGAAGAGGCATCGGCCCCCTGACTTCCGAGGGAACTCGGCTTTCATCACGCGACGTCATAATTCTTCCTCCAACTCCCAGGGCAGAGTTAAGATGGTTTGAATTATTTTTTCTGGTTAGCGTTTTTTCGGCAAGTTAGTTTTTGACGGAATGGGGTCGCCAACCCCATGTCCAAACCTCCTCCTTTACCCGGGCTTGAGACCGGCAGTAGCCCCGAAGGTTCTACTGGCGGAGTTATGTTGAAAATTACCGACCCATAAACATAACTTCAGTAGTATGTAGGGTGGTGGAGAAAGAAGTTAAGCCAGAGTTTACTTATTAACAATGTTGAGGGTTCTTGAGGTCTAGGTCGTGTGACACACGCCTGATAGATTATTTCAATGATATCACATAAAATCAATGTAAAGGTCTCCTAGTACCCAGAAATCCTAATATTATGAAACAAACGTGCTCACTCAAATCACGGGACACAAGAACTCACAATAACTGCCAAGTGACTAGAATTAGTGCAGCTGAGTGTCTAGACCATCATTAGTTGTGCACTTCTAATTACATGGATATTTTAATTCAACTTTAACTAGCTGGCTTAGTTTTCTCGCTATTCCGTCAGTAATCCCATTGTATCAACTTTCAGGAAGTTTACTTCAGTGATGTCTTTAGGCATTAGCGACTTTAACAGAGCTCTTATTCTCCGTGCAGGAAGGTAACAGTAGGCTCACAGTTTTCTTTCTCCTTTATTCAGTGAAAGACGCCTGATCAGTCTTTGGTAGTCAGACTATTGCTACAAATATAGTATTTCATGACATTGGGTAGTTCCTTTTCAATTACTTTGACACATTCGCTTTTATTCTTTGTGGACTTCTTTGGGGTCTGTTTGTCCTCCAATAGTTCAAATGGATCATCGGGTTCTGGTCTTTATTGAGATCTGTTTACATCGATAGGCATGTCAACGAGGCGACCAATATTCGAACTGTCTTAATATGGCTTGCTCATGTGCCTTCTTGCAGCGCTTTTATTGCGATGAGGTCCGGCTAGAACGCTGTTTGTAATCACGCAACATCTATGGTAAAACTAAACATATTCTGTCCTGCTGAACCATTTCGAAGCTTCAGATTTCTTATTCGCGGACAGTCCATAATATGACCTTTTTCACTCATCACACTGTACACCTCTTTCTAAAGTGTGTAGACAGCCCGAGCCTTAGCGTATCGTATTTTTCATTCTTCAGTCATCGACAAGAGGGTTACAAATTAAAAAAAACACGCATAAACGAAACTTATAGTCATAAAAAGCGAACATACGCGTAAAATTCAAAAACCAAAGGATAACTTACAATAATTTTCTAAAAGGAGAAAAATTTAAGACGATTTAAGCACTTATTATGAGGGAATCAGGAGAGACCCGTCAATAACTTACTTTTCACAAGCTGGGCACGCTGAAGTGCCCGATTAAGAAGTTAACTAACCATGAATCTCTTTTACGAAAGCAGTAACAAAGTAAATGTTCCCTCGTTTTCTTCACTTTTCCCTCTGTACAGCCCTTGAAAAGACTTCATAGCTGTGGCTTTTGTGGTAGTCCCTACAGTTTAACCTAATCGCTGATTGGAAATTCTGTAACGGCGCAATATTTAAACTAATGGTTTGTAAGGCATTCGGAACCTAACTATAACAACTTCTAGTTTCGTTTATCACTTTGTCTTGATATATCTTTTAGTTGGTTTTTTATTGTGGCTCTACACTAACTTATGTGATATGCTGCAATGAAATGGCTTTAATTGACTAATAGTATGATAATGTTACAAGTGACTATAATGATGAATTACTCAGTAATTGATTGGATAAAACAATTATTACCTGTAAGATATGTAGTTTAAAACAGGTTACTTAATGGTCAGCTAACTAGATAACACACTAGTTGAAGGTGAATATTTATTTGCTCAATATATCCTTTTACATCATACATGTGAATAACCAGCCCAGTTTGACTTAATGGATTATGCTAAAGTTCGTTTGCAACATTATCATCTTATAAAATCTTGGTTACTTCAAACATTTGTAAACAATGCTGACGTGCATATCTGAATTTCTACTCACTTGCTTTATTTTTGGTTACAGAAATTAGATAATCATTTACTACTTAGTATAATTTGTAGGATAATACTAATGATGATGATGCTAATTTTTAACTGCTTCACCGCTGAACTTGTGCCCGCTTTGTACACACACGTGTGTGTCAATGTTACTGTGTTATTACGCCCGGTATTTCAAATAGGAAAATAACTACATCATTACCAGGAACTGAATTTTGCTACACAATTATTATTTTATGTTTGTGTGTATTAATTAATTGGTAACTAGATAAAACGTGTTTGATAAGTACTTGTGAAGGACTGTTCACGTGCGATCGAATACTTGAGTGAGCATCGTTATCAAAAACATCAGGAAGTGAAGGATTGTGTCAAGTTTTCCACAATAAATCATTTTTTCCTCCGTAAACGCACTCGATTAAGATTTGAACTATGCACTGATGATCATTAGTACTAGTTGGTTGATTTTTCACTAGTATGGAATAAAATCATAAGATGGCAACAAAGTCGTACCAATACAAAGGGAACAACTTAGGTGGACCGACTTTAGAATAATTTAGTCAGGATGTCTACTTGTATATTGATGGCTGTCTGTCACTACTTAAACATTATAAACCGCACAGTGACAAAATAAAAAATTACTAAATTGAACTACACTATAATCCAGTCAACCGTCAAAATGTGTCAGTCAGCCAGTCAACAGCAACATAGGACTCCTTACCTACGTACATCAGTTCAAGTTGCCATACCACATTAGCACAGAGACGCAATTGTCACTTCAAATCCCATAGTAATGTTATAATGCTCACTATCCACCCATTTATTCCAACACTTCAGCTTTTCTTTTATGTTTGAAGATATTTCCATAAGCTGCAATTATTTTATTAGTAGGTTTTTTATGCTACGAACATTTTACTCCAGCTTATCAACTATGAATAACCAACTGAAAATTAGTCGTAAGTGTGAATACTTCTGTAAATTAGGTCTGTGATTTAGATTTACGAGTTCCGTACAGAAAATCTGGTGATATTTTCGATGTCATAAATTTAAAGCATAAAGACCCCTTACTTTTGTTTAAGTCGTGGTTTGAAGAAGCTATCAATTGTGAACATGTTTTCGAACCCAATGCAATGGCTCTGGCAACTTGTAGCAAGTAGGTTGCTGCTAACAATTAATTTTCTCTCATATGAATATTTAAATGTTTATATTCACTCGACGTATACAATTAGGGAAGTACATATATGTATTAAATGTCTATGTTAATTTTTATTGTTGTTGCAAAATAATTATAAAACATTTGCCCACTGTTTGAAGTGTTTAGTTTAACGAAAAATCACAGTTATATGCCGAAAAAATAACAATATCTAATTGATGACGTACAAGCTCTCTACTCGAAAGCTACAGGTCGAGTTAAGTCACTCCGTCCCACTTCACATGACCAGCCAGAGTAGAAGATACTCATAGGCTGCTGGTTTCCGATCATAGGTGTCTTGGAAGCATTGTTTGTCTGTCCTGGGACAAGTGAGTAAGCAATCCTATAGTTAGGAATGGAGTATTAGGTACGGATGGCAGCTCAATAGATGAAGTAGTCAAACTTCATCAGTGGTGGTTAGTTCACGTGTTACATCTGTCCAACCAGCAACTATCTCGACAAGCGTTGTTTAGCGATGTTGGAATAGGTTGGAAGAAATCTACGGGAGTCCAAACCAAAACATGGCACAAATCCTCCAAGTCACTGACAAGTGGACTGTCATGTTGGTAGGTGTTGACTAACTGGTTGGGATCCGCGAGATGGAAGTAGCCGATGGTCAGAGACCTTGAACGACATGTCTCGAAGTCGTTTGCAATGGTGCAGGTGCATCCGCTCTTTGCATTCTCTCATATTCTAACCTTCTGAATTCGTCATTGTCTCTACCTTTCTCTTTCAAGCTTATCTCACCGAATCATACTTTCTGAATAATATCTTGGAACCCAAATCTCCATTACTGCTAATACTTCTATCTCTAGCACAATGGGATTTGAACTGAAAACTTCGTCTATGTGCAAATGTGGTATGGCAACCTGAACTGATGTCCTTACGTATGAAGTTCTGAGTTGTAACTGGATGACATTTATCTACTTTCGAAAACGTCATTTTGATATCCTTCCTCAGATTAATCTCTGAAATTCCCATCCTACAAAGTCGCTTTTTTTCCAGTAATTCCATTTATTGAGTGACAAGCAATAATAAACCCACTTTCATCCCATACTATATACCCGCAATACTTTGAAGAGAAATATTATCTTATATCGATTTCCTATATTAACCTGTTATTGGGAATTGCATAAATCGGAAACTCTTACGAAAAGCTTCATTCATTACTCAAATAATTTTAATACTAAACCACAAATGCCTGTCCCACTGTCACATGAAACTAGATTCTACGTAATTTTAGTTGGTACTTGCCTTAATTTTTTCCCCTAAAGACGTTTCAAAATATTATCAAAAGATTTCATATTAATTCAGCCAATCATATTGTTAACCATATACTAGTGGATTCTTCAATACTAAAGTAACTACTATCAGAAAGAATCATATTTAAAACAAAATTTTAAACTTATCTTGTCAGGCTATGTATTCCAAGTGTACGGTTTGTCCTTCTGAAAGAGTTGGATGAAAATGGATTTCATTTTTTCACCAATTATAATAGCAGAAAAGGTCAAGAGCTTGATCAAAATCCATATGCAAGTCTTGTTTTTTATTGGGAACCTCTTAAGCGTCAGGTAAGAACTGTTGATCAACTAAAAATTTTGAACTAAAATCTTATGTTCGTTTGTAAGCATAATGATCAAATAACCTGTTTATTTAAGTGGTCTGATGCTTTTGGACCATTAAATTCATAGTAAGATGCTTACCGTGTCATTTGGCTTATCATCTTCATTTTCATCATCTCACACATAAAATACGCTTATAAGAGAATGAGATGTTTGATTTGTTTGACTTTTTCGACAGTCACTAGAAGTGGTTAAAACTTCAGTTCAGGCGGAGTCTTACGCTGTATTCTAAACGTGTTGTCTTGCTAGTGTAAGTAATTCCTTGTGTTATCACGTCAACGGCAAAACTCAGTGACTGAGGTTTTTAAATATCTGGTTTTTATTCATTGAGGTAATTTTCAATGCTTTAGAAGTATATACTAACGAAGTTTTAATCACAAGTTAATGACAAGCTATAAGATAAATGCAGATCATTAGCTACATTTAAAGTAGTCAGTGATCATAATAATTTGATTAACTTAATATTTTTATTTAGGGAGTTAAATAAACTTGACATGAGTGCACAAGTTCTTTTAACACCCACCAACCTGTGGAGCTGGTACAATTCCTGACTTCTTTCCTAAATCTGAATTTAATTATCAGTAATTTATTTCGTTTTACTTTTCATCTTATGAGACGTAATCATTACGGATGAAAGTTACATGTAATACACACATGTCTAGTGATTACTCGTGTTGTCCGTAATCACTAGTGATGAATTTCTATATGATAAAAGTATAGCAATTATTAGTGTTAGTTTCGTGAAAAGATGATTAACTGTATAAAAATATTCTCTAAAGTCACAATCATAGAAATTCCTATTAAAAGCACAGGGTAACTAATCTTTGATAATGTACACAAGAAAACTATGTGTTATTTGATTATTGATTTTGTATTTGTATAATTCAAGAAGTTTAGCGATCCCATACAGTATATATCGCTTGTCATCATCTAGAAGGATGCCTTCAGATGGTATAATTTAACTTTTATGCTTATCCTTATAAATTACAGTAGCAAAAAATCAGTCAGCTATGACGTAGAACGCGGTACGTACTTATATCGGTTCAAGTTGCCATATTACATTAGCGCAAAGAAATGGAAATGTCAATTCAAATCCCATAGTAATAAAGGTAGTAGAAGTGTTAGCAGTAACGGAGACGATTAATCATGTACTTGGGCCTGTTTACCCTTCATGGAGCACAGGCCACCGTCCAGAATTCTCCAATCTACTCTGTCCTGGGCCTTTCCAGTTCTGCCCAAATGCTGTTCATTCTTTTCATTTCTGCTTCCGATTCTCGGCGCAGTGTGTTCTCGGGAGTCTCTTTAGTGCCAATGGCCTGGTGACTGACGAAATCTCATCACGGATATATAAAGCTCCATTAGCTTTGCCAACCTGCGTCACTTATGGCAAAGGCGAAATATCCGTTTGCTACCCAAAAGACGAGTGTACTGTGCAGTAGTTCGCTCAGTCCTAGTTTATGCCTGTCAAACATGGCCAGTGAGAGTAGGAGATACTCGTAGGTTACTGGTCTTCGATCATAGATGTCTTCGAAGCATTACTAGTGTATCGCGGGACAACCGTATAAGCAATGCTGTCGTTAAGAAACGAGTACTAGGTAGGGACGGCAAATCAATAGATGAAGTAGTGCAGTTGTTAGGAAACTTGCTAGTTGATGTTAAATACTACTCATTTGAATCAACATAAATCTAACTGTCCATCTTACTGTAAAAAACTCATACAAAACTTAGTGTATTCACTGATCGATCATTTTGATTTATTTCCATGATCAAATGAATCATTATTACCAGTTTCTGGTGTACACTATACGTCATCAGACTTGAAATCTTAGTGATAGACACTAGTCAGTTAAGCATTAATCAGTAATAACAGTTTCAGATATAACATTTGTCAATTGATTTCTTAAAATAGACTAAGAGAAAAAAGCTAATCAAAGATATAGTGAACTGCAATTAAAAATATAGTAGTTATTATCTCAAGCATTGAAGTGAATTTTTTCTGATTTTGGTAGACCTTTTTTGCTTTGAACTAGACAGTGTAACCGAATAAATATCTCTACTTAACAAATCCAATTGAGCTCAAAAATTTTTTTATCATCTTCAAGTTTTTAGAATATTTTATAATAATCATTTTTTTTGGGAACTTACTAGCATCATCATCAAACGACTAGGAGTTACGGTTCACTGATATGTTAAAAATAGTTTTATATATTGTAACTTGGTATGTTTGCCTTTGAAAATGTTGCAAACATTTTTTTTCTTTTAAATTATCTTTTCTGAGTGTAGGTACGTGTGGAAGGCATTGTTTCACGTGCTCCCGATGTAGAAAGTGAAGAATATTTCCAATGTCGTCCAAAACCTAGTCAAATCTCCGCTACAGTTAGTCCACAAAGTGAAGTAATTCCTAGTCGTGAAGTAAGTTCAACAACTAAGATGCATGTTAATGTCTGAATGTGAAAGTTTACATGTTACGTACTATTTTTATTTCTCATGCTACAAAATGCTTCCGCATACTTGTAAATTTCAAATTTTCACTTTTGAATCCTAATTATTTCGAAAATTGTAGTATTTACAATCTATCGATATGGTATTGTTTTGGTGTTAACCATAGAACATAACACACACGTGATTCTTATACCTTGTATGTATTAAGTGAAAAAGTAGATAATTGATGTGATGATAATCTATCTATCTAAACGAAATTAACATGGGACAATATTTAGATTCAGTCAGTCAGCTGCAACATAGAACTTCGTACATGTAAGTACATCAGTTCATGTTGCCATACCACATTAGCACAGAGACGCAAATGTCACTTCAAATCTCATAGTGGTAGAGATAGTAGAAGTATTACTGGTAATTGATAAGATTAGGGTTCCAAAATATTATTCAGGAAATATGATTCAGTGAGATTAGTTTGGAAGAGAAAGTTAGAGGTGATGACGAATTCAGAAGATTAGAATTTGAGAGAATACAAAGAGTGGATGAATCTGCACCATTGCAATCGATGTTGAGCCATGTCGTTCATGATCTCTAACCATCGGCTACTTCCATCTCGCGGTCCCCAACCAGGTAGTTTGCATCTACCAACATGAATCAATGCACTTGTCAGTGATGTCATGGATTTTTGCTATGTTTTGGTCTGGTGGGATTCTTAATGCTGAAGTGTAAGAACTATTGAATTTATGTGACGTATAAGTAACCATTTTATTTCCTTTCAACCATTTTTTCACCGAACTGATTCATATCGATTTGTTTCAGAATGCTTTAGGATGACATCTCTTTTTTCTCAATTCAAACAGTTTTTGGACAAAAAGTACGTAGAATTAGAAAATGAATATGTTGATAAAGAAAAGCTTCCAAAGCCTTCAAATTGGTACGTTCCTAAAATACATTTATATAAGAGAGTTATTTAAATCTAGAAAAAATTGTTATTATCTACAAATATTTTTAAAATAAGGAGAACAATTCACTGTTAATTATTGGCCCATAAAATTCAACAGACAAATATATAGTCTTGTGTTTCAAAGATGTGCTAATCGTATAAAAAATATCTTACTTATTTACAAATTAGTTGAGCGAAAAAATAAGTTTCTTTTCCTCTGCATGAGTTTACAGTGATATATGTTTACAGTTAGGTATGTGAAATCGATACCCGGCAAATGGTGATAGGTCAGTCAGTTTGACAATGTTCCTCAATAGTAATAAATTAATGACATGAATAGTATGAAATTATAAAAACAAATTATGTAAAAATAAAATCAGGAATTAAAATTAAAACAATTACAGCGGATAAAAGTTTCTTCTCAAGAGCCGAATTACGGAGATTCAACTCGATGGAATCCGTTAGATAACTTTAAAAACGGAAATTATTTTGACATGACCAGTATCGACTAAATACGCAAGATTTTAGCTTCTTATTGTTTCCATCTAGCAATTTATCTTTATTTTGAGAATACATTATTAATTTACTGAAGATAAAAGGATACAGTCTTATATTTTAGATCACAATTTCATTGGCTATCACATTTGAACTGTAATTTATCTACACCAATTCCGTTAATTCAGTTGTTAGTAGTTTTATGCGTAAAATTATACATACATATTTAGGTGAGATGTAGATTTACTAAATTATTCTTACATAATTAGTAATGACTAACTACCCCGACCGTAGCTGCTACCTTGACGTGGTGGTCGGGCTTGCCCATCGTCATCACCCAACCGAGCTATACAATACCGATTCGTTTATAATGGCTTTGATACGTTTTATCGGAAGAAGAGGGAGGCCAACAGACGTGTATAGTGACAATGGATCAAACTTCGTGGGGGCAGTCACTGAACTAAAGAGCTTCGTGCAACAGCGGAATCAGCAGAAAATAAGTAAGAAATTATCTTCAAGACAATTTCAATGGCACTTCAACCCCACTAGCCAGCCATAGAGGTGGAGTTTGGGAATGGATGATTAGATCTATACGGAGGCTGAAAGTTGAAGGTTTTGTTTTTTTGGAAAATCCCTCCATGTATATATATTTGTGTTATGATATGACTGACTCTTCCTGTTGACATTTTGGTACTCTATTTGATTCCATTTTGAGATTTTATCATTGTATATTGTTATTATTTCTATATCTTGTACTTATATTGAAGTTCTTATGTTTCCTTCTGAACTGTACATATGTTGTTTGAATTTGATATTTAATATGGCTACAGCCGTTTTTGGATTTGATACTCTAGTAGTAACGAGCTGGAAGCATTTATTCTTCCAGAAACGGAACCTATTGTGGTAATCGGGAACTCGAAGGTGTAATATTGTTTTGGTAATTGTCTGTATTTCCCTTTTTATCGTTTAATAGAACCGTTTTCTTCCAGAATTATCGTTTTTTGGTCCCGAAATTGGTATAAACGCGTATGAACCTGCACCTGGCAAGTTAAAGGTGAACTGCAAGAGTAGAAAATCCGCCACAGTGCATATCTTGAGACCTGCAGTTGCTATCATTGCCATCTCCTCAGATCACTTACTTAATCTATCTAGCCTTTCATCTCTGTTCCCCCTTGCTTACACTTCGGTCATCAGTCACAATCTTCACTACCAATCAACAAACTAAATTCATCTATATATTACTTAGTTCCGAAATTTTATTCATATTAGCATTAGAATTTTACCCTAATTTTCCTTATTTCTCTCCACATTGCAACAAACTGGTTTGGTAATGTAATAGCTGCTGGTATCCGGAAACCCTACTGCCCTGAAACAAACGTTTTCATTAAAATCCCGAGACATACAAACTCACAACCAACTGACTAGAATTAGACAGTCGAGTGACTAGGCCCCCATTCATTGGACATTACCGAACACCTGGAACCGGACCGAAAGTAAAATTATCGAGAGATCGAATTGGTTTACACTAGCTCGTGAAAAAGATTTTGGATATTGGAGAAAGTCAACGCAAGATTGGTTGCCTAAAATCACAGAGTTAGTCGCCTAATTATTGTTGAGCGTCAAAAGTTTGAAGCGCGTTTCGAAAACTGAGATTATAAACATCTAGTTAGTGATAACCTTCAGTGAACAGATCAAAAATGCGAAAGAACAAGAATCGAGCGCAGAGAAATCATTTGGTCTACGCTAACTTGTGAAAAGGATGTTGAATATTGGACTATAACCCATGTAATTTGAGCAAAATTTAAAGCTCGCGGTGTAGTGCGTTTGGAACCTTATGTTACCAATTCCTGGTCTGGATTGTCGGTTTATCTTAATTTCATGCTTTTGTTCTTTTTAATTGCTATTGACTGCATTTTCAACTAAGCACAATGGAACTCTTTGCGCTCTCTAGTTCGTCTGCATACCCTTTTTCATCTACTTTCATCCACTTTTTTGTCATTTGAATCAAAAAGACTTTCTATCAAAGACTTCAATTGGACACTGTCACTTGGGTCTGTGAGTGAAAGAATGTTATTTAGTCGTAACCTAAAATAATTCCGTAGGAGTTTGCATCCTAGCAATGTCAAGCCTTCTTCTGGAAACTGTTGGTCTGAAACATTTCTTTTGAATGCATATAACAGTGCATTAAGTAGCAGATTCCTTGAAATAACATGGGATTGTCTTTTGTTGATGTCCTGGATGATGGATAATAAATTCTCCGTATTCTAAAAAACCTTACGTACATGATTCAATAAATTTTACACCACGTATCCAGCTTCAAAAAGTTCAATACGCTATCATCTTCTATACAATATAAGTAAAAGATAATTTTCACTGTAGTAACTAGCAAACTGTTTACCTTTTTATCTGACTGAGATTATTCGAAAACGTTCCTGATCTTATTATTAGCACTAATTGTGGAATATTCTGAGTAAAAGTCCATACACGTATGTATATTTGTATCTTATATAAGATAATCAAGGTGTTTTTGAAGTCTGATAATTTTTCGTATCATTCCTGAACGTAGGAAAAAATCGAAGACAATTAAAAATTGAGGGATTTTATATTAGCGATTCATAGTATTTCCCCAACGTGAGTGAACTATTCGGGTGAATTATGAAAAAAATCCCTGCTTAGGGAAATTCTGCGTGTAAATCGTAGACCCGGTTAATTTATGGAAAAACCCCATATCTGGGTAAAGTTCGGGATTTTGTTGCATTTCCCCGAATTTTACCCTAAATATTTGGTAGAACTTATCAATTTTGTGTTCGGAGAAACAGAAAGTTTGTGAAGTAACCATAACAAGCGTTGCTTTTCAGTGCTTAGTGTATTTGCAAATCTTGCTTTGCAATCACATCTATGTTTTTGTTGTAGAACCTTTGACAGTGCCTTCATTCTGTTATACTGATTGCTGTTGTTGTATCCAACCTACATTTTTACACTACTGAAAGTCTATTCCCATGGATTGATGTTTCAACCGTCATATCCACCTACTTAAATCCGTTTATTCTCTAGCCCTTTTGCATCACCATATACTGTCCTTAAAATTTTCACATCTCAGCTTTGGCGGTTTGATGACGTGAAGTAAAGATCGCAGATAATCTAGAATAGCGCTTTGCACTTGTACCACTTTGTACTGGCTTTTATCCAGATATTATCACATTTATTCTCACCCTCTACCGTCGCATATATAAGATGATCTATTCCTTCTATCCAACACATAGCAATGAATTCAGGAGAAGACGGTCAGTGTAGCAGCAGCCTATGCAGCAGTAGGTCTTAACATGCACACAAGGTCAGTCAGTCAGATGCAACGTAGAACTTTGTACGTAAGTACATCAGTTCATGTTGCCATACCTTATCAGCACAGAGATATAATTGTCAATTCGAATCCGATAGTAGAAGAGGTAGTAAAGGTATTAGAAGTAATCGAAGTGGTTAGGATTAGAAGATATTATTCAAGAAGTATGATTCAGTGAGAAAAGTTTAGAAAGTCAAAACTAGAGGGGTTAGAGAATCCAGACGATTAGGATTTGAGAGAACACAAAGAATAAATGCACCGGTGCCATTGCAAACGGTTTTGAGCCATGTCATTCAGGGTAACTAACCATCGATTATTATCATCTCGCGGACCCCAACCAGGTAGTCGACAACTACCGACATGGCTAAGTCCACTCGTCAATGACTTCATGGATTTGTACCATGTTTTGGTTTGGCCGCCCCTAACTTTCTTCCAACCTACTCCTACACTACAAAACAAAGCTCTTCGAGGCAGTCGGTGGTTAGGCATACGCAGCACATGTCCCAACCGCCTCAACTGATGAAGTTTCATTACTTCATCGATTGATCTGCCATTCTTACCTAGTACCCGTTTCCTAATAACAGCGTTGCTCACTCAGGTGTCCCAGGATATACGAGCATTGCTTCGAAGACACCTATGATCGAAAACCAGTAACCTACGAATATCTTCTACTCTCACTGGCCATGTTTCACAGCCATAAAGTAAGACGGAGCGAACTACTGCGCAGTACACTCGTCCTTTAGTCAGCAAACGGATATCTCGCCTACGCCATAAGTGACGCAGGTTGGCAAAAGCCAATCGAGCCTTCTGTATCCGTGCTGAGATTTCGTCAGTCGCACCAGGCTATCGGCACTGATGAGACTCCCAAGATAAGTGAAGCTGTCTACACGTTCGACTGCTTTACTCCCTATCACTAGTTCAGGTACCGATGCAACCCAATCTTAAAGCAACATTTTGCATGTCGAGGGGGAAAACCGCATCCCGAACATGCTCGCATTGTTGCTTATGGTAGTCAGAAGACTGCATTTTGTCAGCGTCTTCACCGAAAAGAACTATGTCATCGGCATATTCTAGATCAGTAAGCGACTTTCCTGGTAGAAGTTCAACCCCTGAAAAACCTGATGAGCTTAATGTTAACTCTAAGAGGATGTCTACGACAAAGTTAAACAAGAATGGAGAGACTGGAAATTCCTGACGGACACCACTTGAACTAGAGAATTTTGATGACAGTTCGCCATAAGGTCTCACTCAACCAGTGGTGTTCGAGTAGAGAGCTTGTATAAGGTTAGTGTACTTCTTTGGTACACCTTTCAATGACAGACACTGCCACAGAACCTCACGATCAACAGAGTCGAATGCCGCATTAAGGTCCAAGAACACGACTATTGTCGGACGCCTAAATGTGTGTCTGTGTTCCAGGACCTGTCGTAGTGTGAAGATGTGGTCTATACAACCACGTCCAGGTCGAAAACCAGCCTGGTTTTCTCGAGTCTGCTCTTCACGAGCTTTCGTTAAGCGTCGAAGTATTATTGAGGCCAATATTTTGGATACTATATTAGTTAGACTGATTCCCCTGTGATTGTCACAAGAAGACTTTTGTCCTTCCTTGTACATTGGGACAATCAGTGATTGAGACCAGTCGGATGGGATTGCGTCCAGTTCCCAGATTCTACCTAAGATCTCGGTCGACCTAGCTGCTAAAACTGGACCACCATCCTTAAATATCTCAGGGGTCAATCTATCAGGACCTTCAGCTCGCCCTCGCTTCAGATTTCCTAACGCTTTCTCAACTTCATTAAGACTAGGGGGACTTGCGTCGATTTGCCATTCAGGATGACTGGAGATCGTGGATAACTGAAGAATGGCTCGAGGCCAGTTGAGCTGATCCCTAAAGTGCTCTGCCCATCGATCCAGTCTCCTGGCTTGAGAATAAATAAAAGTCCCATCATAGTCTCACTTACACTAGGATTCCTAATACCAGTTTCCTTGGTAACTCGGAAAAATTGTCTACTGTTGCCTGTCGCCGCTGCCTTTTCCATCGCTTTTGCTTTCGGCACGCACTACTGTTCACGGTCGTTGCGCAGGCTTTTTATCAGCCTGCGCCTAAGTTGACTTCGTTCTTCATCATGTTCAGAGTCAGGTGGGATGAGTTTTCGGGCATCCATCAGATCGATGGATGCTACTGTGATCCACGGCTTCATCCTAGCCTTATGGTTTACCTTCCTAGCAGATATCACTGCTGTTTCCACAGTCTTTTTGAAATCATTCCAACCTGCCTCCGGATGGGAATCGCTTCGATGGACGCCTAACTGCCTTTCTAGTTGTTCCTGAAATATATTTTCCGCCTTATTATCATTAAGTAAAACCCTAAGAGGCTTCCTTACAGTGTCTTTCCTACGCCCGGTAAGCCTCAAATACGCGCTTGCACTAGGGCATGATCTGAATCTAGACATGTGCTCCAGAACGAGCGAGAGTCCTCTATCCAACCCCTCCATCGGTGGCTGATGGCGATGTGATCTAGTTGTGTCCAACGTTGAGACGACTTCGGGGGTCGCCAGGTCAAAAGGTGTTTTTCCTTATGCTTAAAATTAGTGTTTGCTAGAAATAGTTGGTTATCTGAGCACAGTTGCAACAGACGGTCGCCATTGCCTGTTCTCTGAGCCGCAACACCATAACATCCACCTAGGTGTCTTTCGTTTTCACTTAGTCTACCTACTTGAGCATTAAAGTCACGAGCCATTATTACTATATCAGAGCGCCTAGCTTTTTGGAGGAGGTTCGAAAGCTTTCAGTAGAATTCATCTTTAACCTCGTCTGCACTGCAGTCAGTGGGGGCGTATGCAGATACGACGAAGAGGCAACGGCGATTGTCCCTATCTTTCCGAATCCTTACTGTCCCGTTTAGTCGGACAGCGCAAAAGCGACTATCTACAGGGACCCAGTCAACTAGAGATTGTTCAGCTCTACGAATCAATGCTATGCCTACGCCAGTAAGACCCCGGGAAGCAGCATCAGGGCTTCCAGATACACGAAGAGTAAATCGAGCTGCTTCTTTATCTTGACATGGTGAGGTCAAATGAGTGATGCTACTCGGATCCTGTATGCGCGTTTCCGAGACGCAGCACACATCGATGGAACGAGATTCTAAAGTCCTAGCTAAGGAAGCCTGTTGCCCTATTTGACACAATGTCCGTACATTGAATGCTCCAACATGTAGTTTGGAACGGGGTTTAAGGAGACCAGGAACGACGTTTCGTGAACTCGCATCGTTTGCATTAGCGGTTCAGTCAGATAAGGGAATGTAAGAAGAGTTAGTTGTGGAGATAAGAGAGGTATTAGGGGGTGTAGGAAGGATTTGGTTTTGACCAATTTGGTCTCGCGTGCTGTTACGGGTATGAGGGCGGTTATCACTTCCCGGCTGCCCACACCGTGGAAGGTTGTTTCTTGAGGAATCTGAAAACGAAGATAGATTAGTGTTGGTCTTGGAGACCTGGGAGCGTGACCGCAGAGTCCAACGGAAAACGGCTTGTGGCCAGTCATGCATGGCCTTTTTATGAAGGGTTTTTTGAGTATTAGCTCCGCTCTTCAAAACCCTTAGTGGGCACCCTTATTGCCGGAGACGGAAATTCGTAGGATAGTGTGGGTTATAGAATGCTGATCAGTGGTCTACATTTCCTCAGGAGTAACGTGTGTAAGTAAGTAAGTGATTAAAAGTGGCTGTGATTAGGGGAGCCTGCAATTTATACACTGGGAACAAATTAGAAATTGTAAGTCATGAAATTTTAGTTAACGGAGCAAACGAAAGCCTATGATAAAAAGAATGTATATATAGTAATTTAGCTTAGCTAGCTTAATGATAATAAATTGGATTGGGTTATTTTGAAGTAGTGGTATTTGTATAGATATTCGTAACGTGATATTACCGAAGGGTCAGTTAACATTCCTGCAGAAACGTTCGTCGGAAGTTAAGAACTATTGATCTTCATATTTGTTGTTACTATAAGAATGTATATCAACTTGATGTATTTCAAATTCTATCTTTAAACTTTCAGTAGCCATTCAAATATTACAATACCTGGTACTTTAATTGCTCTCAATCTCTTTCGGGATCATTTTTATGATGCTACTCTATATTTTAATGAATATTTGTATGTATCTTGTTAGTAAAATTATTACACTGTGGTTTCTTTTTTCCATACCTAACAATGACCGAATTTTTATGTATTTGTGTTTTTTCTTTAATACATAGGTATACTGTTGTGGTGAACAACTGGATATCTTACTACTTAGTAGATGTTTAAAAATCCGAAACAGTTTGTCAACTAAGAGCTTTTGATTTGAAAAGTGACTATTAAATGACATTGGATTCGAAGACTTCCACTAATATATCTCCAGTTTTCGTTCTTAACAGACAGGCTCATCTTCTTAAAATAGATTTATCTTGGTCCTGTGAAGAGAGTGGTCCATACTATGACAAAGTGTTTCGTGTTAATGTTACTATCAGCCACCATAGTCTAAACAGTCCTGAGATATATTATGGTGTTGGAAGCAGTGTCAAGGAAGCTAGACGGATGGCTGCTGCTAGTGCTTTGCAAACTTGTAACTTATTTAAGTACAATGCTTTTTCAAATAATGGGGCTCTGCAAACTGGAGAACTGTTTCTAACACCACAAAATGTAAGCCTTGTGAACATTTTATTTTCTAATTATTTTGTTAAGTCATTTGTTTCTCAGAGACTTCTTATAGGATGATGTGCTGCATTTTTCACTGTTATGTTACATGTTCGCACTTAACTCCACTTTTTATGATTTAAGCTAAAGTGCAGTGTCAGTAACGCATACAAATACGACGACTTAAAATTGAGTACATGAATCCATATTAGATGAATGAGGTTTTAGTCAGACAGACAGACAGATACAACGCAGATTTTCGTACGTAAGTACATCAGTTCAGGTTGCCATAACACATCAGTACAGAAACGCGACTGTTAGTTCAAATCCAAGAGTGATAGCGATAATAGAAGTATTAGCAGTAATGGAAAAGATTAGGGAGCAAAGATATGATTCGAGAAGTATAATTCAGTGATATAAATTTAGAAGGAGAAAGATAGAGATTATAGGGAATTCAGAATGTTAGAATTAGAGAGAACACGTAACAACAAGTGATGTTTTAGTAATTTTAATTCAGTGATAATATGAACCAATATATTCAACATTTGAATGAATCGTTGATAATTTGTTTTTCAAAAAATTTTCCAAGAGTATATTTTCTCAACCATCTTAATATTTTCTATAGTTTCTTCATGTTTTTTTATTTAGGTCGATCCTTTCATTATTTTGATTAAACTTGCTCCTACACCTTTAACTCCAAAGGTACAGCTTCAAAAACTACTTAATTTACTTGGTTCAAAAGTGGAATTTATTCATTCAGTGGATCATGCCAATATTAGTTTGGTAAACATTATTTATGTATTGTGTCATTGTTTATATTTGTTAAATTACTAAAGTATATTTACTACTTCACTTGTTAATTTGGTAGAGGAAGCAACCATTTTTTATGATTATAGTTTATGCTACTGAGTATTTACGTCAACATTGTGGTGACATTTTACTTTTTCGGACAGTCGCTAATATATTCTACTATGAGATTTTCAAACATCTTAGTCTTAACGTTCCATATGTATATATTATCCAATAGTTGACGATTCACTTTGCTAGAAATTAGAAAAGATATAGTATCACCTGTGTAAAGTACTAGTTGTGTAAGTTCGTTTACTCCTACTTAATTAATTCATGAACCTGGATTACATAATAACTTCCTGTGTTGTAAATCAGTAACATCACTGTCAAATTGTCGTAATCGAACTGTACAGTGAATAATCAGTTGGCTCAACACAAAAATACGTTTATTTATTTTCGTATCTTCTTTTTATATATACTTTAACATGTTTAATTCATGTCATCTCATAAAATAATTGATCTCCAATCATAGATAATACATGTTCACTGAATTCGTTTACATCAGATCTACATACGCATATCTAGAACTGTTATCTAATCATAATTATCTCCACTTTTCATACTAAATATAACCATACACATATAAAAATCTCACTTTCAGCATTTCTAACGTGACTGGACGGCATGCTTAGTATTTATGGACCTTATTTATGAAAATTATATTTGAAATGTTGTCAGTGATTAAAATCTAAATAGTTCCAACGTTTTGTCCAGTGGTCTTGTCTGGACTTTTTCAGAGTAATAATGGTCAGAATTACCAAAGAATATATATAACAATCAAGTCTAGTTTACACTAAGTGCTTATCCGATTATATTCAGATGTTGACTTTAGTTAGTAGAATAATAGGAGTCGAGCAAGAATTGAATCATCTGATAAGTTCGCAATGTGAAAAATAAGTGAATATGTGCGTGTATGTTTAACTTCGTTATTAATATTTGATATTCCGTGAATAAATCTTAATTATTCGTTTATTAAAAGTAGAAATAAAAATGCATTCAAAAATGTGTAAAATTAAGAAACATCAAATACATAGTTGTGATGTTGAAATATTCAGATTAATTTCCCTCGGGACGTCGATACGTGTGAAATAAATAGGGTGAATAAAGATGAGGTCCAATTGCTTGTGAATGGTCATTTACCGAGGGTTGGCTGGTTAGATGTTATCTTTTCTGTTTAGGCTGTTCTTGCTAAACTATATATTACACTGCTTCTGCTTTTAATCTTTCTTTATGCTTGTGTCTTGTTACTGACGCATGTGACGCTACTACCAATTTATTCACAAGTTTATTGAGATCAACCGATGATTTGAGAACATTTTTCAGACGTTGTTTGTGTTCTTTCAGCTGCACATTTAGTTGTTTAGGTGCTTCTCTCACGTAAACTGCATTTCACTCTTGACAATTGTTCTCTTAGACAACGTTGTGTTGTTCTTCCGTAGTAAGCCCATCCTTATATTTCGTAAGTTGAATGTTTGATCACACTTCCTTGAATAAGTTTGAATCAGATTGTTGAGCAAAACGTTAAGTTTACCTCGAGTCTCGTCTTTGCGATTTTTACAAATATAATTTTCTAACAGACAACGCCTATTGGTTAAAAATTAATTTTGTATTCAGTTTTGGGGTAAATGATGTGATTTGTTACATCATCTAATACCTAAACATCACAAGGCCTGTAGATTCATGTAGATAGTTGGATTTCTTTGTTACAGAATCAGTTTTCAAAACTTTTTAAAGCAGAGATGGACAGTGGCTGGCAGCGAAATCCTATTTGGTAACCGTTGACTAGATGTACTTGCATCTCAGAGTTCATGTTCACTCTGCACCCGTTCGCTTCAAATGTCATTTTGTTATTCGCTTAACTACGTAAGCCAGATAACCACCAGTTTGTGCTATGGAGTGGAGTGTGGTTATTAGCACTTTTCATTGATATTTGACATTGTAACTGATCAGTCTTGTTTGACAAATGTTCATCCTGTGCTCAATACCTCGATACCGCCATTTAATCATAAGCCTTCTAAGCGGCAGTTGATGGTAGCGGACAGTAGTATTTTTAGCCGAATGTGATAAGATATTTGTTTTTCCCAGTTAATTTTAACTCCTTAATAATTAACGTTCTCTTAGTATGTATCTTAAAAATTGCAAATTTAGCTAGGTAATAATTTTAAATTGTAAATGATATTGTTACATTATCAGGATATTTCAGTATCACCTTGAAAAGTATAATATACCAAAAAGTGATCATACATGTTATTTAGCTATTGAATGAACTAATTAGTGTAGAAGTTATCACTCATGGGTTTTGATATAATAAAACAAACTGACTTAACTGTCATGATCAAATTTACTGTTTTTGTATTGATATGAGCCTAGTATTGATATCTAACATTATTCTTTCTGTATGATTGCTACTTGACCTATTTCGGAAGTAGAAATTAACCATATGTTTTTTAGGAATCTTTTTTTGATGTAAGTTGTTGAAGGTTTAGAAAGCTTATAATGGTTTATTTTGTTGAATGAGTTTGTGTAATCAAAAGACTTACGATTATTTGGCAAAATGTACTGTTTTATTTCTGCTTTGTAAATTACTGAATTCAATTTCCTGTGTTTTTGTTTGATCAAAAGCATCCTATTATGTATAGAGCGATAGCGAAGATTGTTGATCGTCAATATATTGGAAATGCAACCACTAAATCAGGTGCTGAACAAGAGTCATGTTTATCAGCTTTAATGGTACGTATATATATATATATATATATTAGTTTAATCTATGTAGGGATAATTATCATAGGGTATTTTAACTCTACACTACAGTGGTTAGAGCTTCTCATCAGTTTAAATTACTTAGTTTTATTATATCTTATGTGTATTTGTATAATTATGCTAGTAAATCAATGGGTTTTTATCAAATTTTATCTAAAATTATTACTCATACTGTAGTGAAAGAGAACACAGGTGGGGCAACCGAATTGTTTTTAACGAAAATTACAGAGTTACTAAGTAAAATTGGAAAACCATATCGTAAATCGTTCATTTGCAAAATAACAGTTCATCATATCAAACTGGACTGTTCCTGTTGCAAAACATCAATCCATTGTCACTATTCATGCGTTTCATATAAATTCCATTGTGTTCTAACTCTTCCTTTCTTGATCTTGCCCCATCTTCGGCTGCCAGACATTACGTTGACGCTAACGTCATATACTACTTATAAGTAGCTCGCACCACAGCACCACAATACTACCTCTGTCCTACAAGAAGTGAGTAAATTGTTGAAAACAGAGATAATAAAGAATAAAAAATTTCGGGTCCTAATTATCTTCTGCAGATTGCTGTTACCGCTCTAACTTTTAAACCTCCCCTTAGTCCAAACTTCGATCAATTTCTTAACGTGTTGAAAAAAGGATTTGTTAAACTATCTGATATGTTTGTTGCACAGGTATTTAGTGTAGTTGAATACGTAATATTTTCTTATCAGGCAGGATTAAATGATCTATACAGTTTCAATCGTAATTTGGTTGGAGGAATATTTAAAATAAAAATCAAATTTAATGCTTATAAACTGACTAAGAAACTATGTTAGATAGATTGGAATTAACAAACATTTTACTTTTTTTAAATTTATTGCATCAACATCGTTGATTATCATTAAGTGATGTTTTGAAGCCGAAACTCAACCTTCTATTTTATTGTCTAGTTATCTTGCTAAATGGAAGTTTATACACTTAACTCTGAACTAAGCTGCCTGTATGAGGGTTAGCTATACTGTCCGACCTCTCAATTCATAATAAAATGAAGTGGTAGAGTTGAAACCCAAGATCTGTCAATAAAAATACCAGTCATTAACTACTATTCTATTTTATTTGATCCCTTGGTATATTTATAGATTTCATAAAATAATGTTTTTTTTTAAACATTATTGACTGCACGATTACCAGGTGTAAATAGATATGCATCTTAAACAACTGAGATGGTATAGCTTTTGACTAATATTGTATGACTAGCCTTTCAATGTTTCTGTGATATGTGGTGAGAGTTGCACGCGCTGCATTAAATACAACCGGTCCAGTAAAACATTATTTCGTTTTAACAGTCCTGAGTAGAACGTGCTGTTATGATGTGTACATCGTCACCGGAGTCAAAGACGATTTGATTTTTAGAACATTGTTCTAATATTTATCGCTTGCATTCTGTTTTCACCCTTACACATCTAATCATGACTCGTTCATCTAAGTAAGTAAAACGATGGAAGCTAAGTTTTCCAGTTTAAAAATCTTTATTTTGGATAAATTGTATGAAATTTCTTGTCTTGTAAATATTCTATGAAAATACATCTCTTTAATTCCTGTATATTACATTTTGGCTAACCTCGTTTGTACGACGCCAATAATGCGGAGCGCAATATGGTTTTATTCGGACGAATTTATTATTCCATATATTCACTAAAGTAGGAAGACAATAAAGATAAACGTAAAAGCGAAGGAAATGGTCCATCTTAATGGAATGAGACATGACTGAGTATTTATACCCAGACAAGAATAAGCTAGACGACATACGACAAGCCATTTAAGCAACGCACATACACACATACACAAGTAAAAGCAACCAAAATTATAAGCGAATAATCGATAGGTCGAAATACGCGCGGATAAAATAACTCGAGAAGAATGAATGAATTAAATTGTCCAATGGCTGGAACAACCCATGTGAGCTCGACATATTAATAAACTCCACACGTGAAATACTTTTTCCCATTAGATCTAGCTTTCGATGATAACGTTCTAAAATAGAGGAGTTTTCTCATTTTTAATTATAATGATGTATTTATCTTTCAGAAATTAGTACAATATTAGAAAATGAAAATTCATGGTATTCTGTCATATTCCAAACTAATAATTTGTTGACCTATTGGATATGTTTTTTTGCTATATCAGTAGAATTTATCATTGATACGAGTTATTTTCTAGTGGTTATTGCATATTCATGCTTTTCAATATAGGCTCTTCGTCGATCATTATTGTCTTATATCAAAACTCAGAAACTAAAGAAAAAATTAGAAGATGATGAAAATCTGTACATTTATCGGTTTATTCATCCAAAATCATCAGTTTGGAGATTACGTATACTTGCTGGTTTACATTTCATTCAACCAACTTTTAAGGTAAAAATAAATATATATTTTTAGAAAATAAATATCCAGTTTTTAATATATATATGTATGTTTTGTCAATTTTTTTAAAATTTCACTTGGAATTTTTTCTATCTCCAAAGTGAATACAGTTTTACATATGGAAAGCCTAAAACAACAGTTCTGTTCACGGTGCACGTGCAAAAAACATAACTTGAAACGTAACGGATTTCCTCTTTTTTTAGTACATAATCGGCTGCGACGTTTGAATTTTTTTACTCAGAGACACAGTTAGTTCTGTCAAAGCAGCCAAATACTCTACTAAAACAAGCTTGAAATCAAGGTGCAAACAACTATATTTATTTAAAGAACAGTACGAAATACATTTGAAACATTTAGTTCCTTTGATAAATTTGGATGATGACATGAGAAGATGGAAGTTCTATCATGTGTATTTGCGCTATGCATTTCGAATAATCTGATCGCAAATGTACTTGTTAAGACATTATATATATGAAAAGTATATAAAAGATCAACTAGGCAAATTAATAAGTTGGTGGAACAAAGATAATACTAATATTGAATTACACAAGCTGGATTACTTACTTACTTACGCCTGTTACCCCCAATGGAGCATAGGCCGCTCACCAGTTTTCTCCAACCAACTCTGTCCTGGGCTTCCCTCTCCAGTTCTGTCCAATGTTTGTTCATTCCTCTCATATCTTTCTCTATTTCTCGGCGTAGTGTGTTCCTTGGCCTTCCTCTTTTCCTTTTGCCTTGAGGGTTCCATGTGAGGGCTTGTCTCGTGACGCAGTTGGGTGCTTTTCGTAGTGTATGTCCTATCCACTTCCACCGCTTCTTCCTGATTTCCTCCTCCACTGGAATCTGACTTGTTCTCTCCCACAGTTCGTTGTTGCTGATGGTGTCTGGCCAACGAATACGAAGTATTTTGCGTAGACAACTGTCTTGACATTTGTATTGAAAATCCTGATTTTGGTTTTGGTTGAAAGTTGTTTGGAGTTCCAGATATTTTTCAACTGTAGAAATGCAGCCCTTGCTTTGCCGATCCGCGCCCTCACATCTGCGTGCGATCCACCTTTCTCGTCGATGATGCTGCCAAGATATGTGAAGGTGTTAACGTCCTCGAAGGTATCTCCATCAAGCGTGATTCGGTTGGTGCATGTTGTGTTGCATCGGAGAATTTTGCTTTTTCCTTTATGTATGTTGAGACCTACTGCTGCAGAGGCTGCTGCTACACTGGTCGTTTTCTCTTGCATTTGTTGTTGAGTGTGCGATAGAAGAGCCAAGTCATCTGCGAAGTCCAGATCGTCCAGCTGCGTCCTAACTGTCCAGTTGATACCGTGCTTCCCTCCAGATGTTGACGTCTTCATAATCCAGTCGATCACCAGGAGAAAGAGAAAGGGTGAGAGTAAGCAACCTTGCCTGACACCGGTCTTCACCTCAAAAGAGTCTGTCAGCTGACCTCCGTGCACGATTTTGCAGTTGAATCCATCATAAGAATTCCGTATGATGTTGACTATTTTCTCAGGCACACCGTAGTGTCGAAGAAGCCTCCACAGTGTTTTCCTATCCACGCTATCGAATGCTTTCTCGTAGTCGATGAAGTTGATGTAGAGTGGTGAGTTCCATTCAATTGATTGTTCCACAATGATCCGTAATGTAGCAATTTGGTCAGTACATGATCGATCCTTACGAAATCCGGCCTGTTGATCTCGAAGTTGGGCGTCTACGAAGTCCTTCATTCTGTTTAACAATACTCTGTTGAAGACTTTGCCTGGTATTGAAAGAAGAGTGATGCCTCTGTAGTTTTCACACTTGCTGAGATCGCCTTTCTTCGGTATTTTGATCAGGTATCCTTCTTTCCAATCTGATGGTACTTGTTCCTCATCCCAAATCTTCTTGAAGAGGATGTAAAATATTTTCGCAGTTGCTTCTACATCTGCTTTCATTGCCTCTGCTGGAATGTTGTCTGGTCCTGCTGCTTTGCCGCTCTTGATTTGTCTGATGGCCATACTGATCTCCTCAATCGTAGATGCGCCAATATTAATTGGGAGGTCCGTGGATGCTGCTTCGATGTTGGGTGGGTTCAGTGGAGCTGGTCGATTCAATAGTTCCTCAAAGTGCTCCACCCACCTATTTCGCTGTTCGTCAGTGTTGCTGATTATTTTCCCATCCTTGCTTTTCACTGGTCGTTCTGGTTTACGATAGTTTCCGGCCAGCTTCTTTGTTGTTTCGTACAATTGTCTCATGTTTCCTTCTCTTGCAGCCTTTTCCGCCGTCATTGCTAGATCTTCCACATATTTTCGTTTGTCAGCTCTGATGCTCTTCTTTACTTCCCTGTTTGCTTCTGTATATTCGGCTTTCGCCTTAACATTCTCTGCTCTTGTTCGTTTGACATTCTTTGCTGCCTTCTTGTTCCTCCTTTCTTGAATTTTTTCAAGAGTACCAACAGAGATCCATTCCTTGTATAGGTGCTTCTTGGGACCAAGGACCACTTGACATGTTGAAGTGATTGCCTCCTTAATCACTTTCCAATTGTACTCCAATGTTGCTTCCTCTCCATTGAGTAGATCCTGAAAGGCCTGGAACCTATTGGTGAGGGCTATCTTGAATTCGTTGAGTTTTACGGTATCCCGAAGAAAGGCTGTATTAAACTTCTGTGATGTTGTCTGCCCCGTTGTCCAGTGCTTCTTTAGCTTCAATCTCATTTTGGCGATCAGCAAGTGGTGATCTGAAGCTATATCAGCTCCTCTCTTGGTTCTCACATCCTCCATGGTCCTTGTAAACTTTTTAAGATACAGATATGGTCAATTTGGTTTTGAGTAGTGTGGTCCGGTGAAATCCATGTGGCTTTGTGAACGCGTTTGTGCGGGAATATTGTGCCACCGATGACCAGTTTGTTGAAGGCACATAGGTTTGCAAATCTCTCACCGTTTTCGTTCCTTTCTCCCAGTCCATGTCGTCCCATGATGTCTTCATATCCAGTGTTGTCCATTCCAACCTTGGCATTCAGGTCTCCCATAAGAATCGTCAAATCCTTTGGTGAACATTTATCGACGATTGACTGCAGCCTTTCGTAGAATTGATCTTTAACGTCGTCATTGTAGTCATTGGTAGGTGCATAACATTGGATGACGTTCATTGTAATGTCCTCTTTCTTTGTTTTGAAGGATGCTTTAATGATCCTCGGCCCATGAGATTCCCATCCTATCAGTGCCTTTTGTGCATGTTTGGACAGCATCAGTGCAACTCCTTGTGTATGTGAAGCGTTTTCCCCTTCATGACCAGAGTATAACAGCAGTTCCCCTGAAGCTAGTCTCAGTTGTCCTACTTGTGTCCAATGCGTTTCACTGATTCCAAGCACCTCGAGGTTGTATCTTTTCATTTCTGCCGCAACTTGAAATAGTCTTCCAGTATCCCACAATGTACGAACGTTCCATGTACCTAAAAAAATGGTTGCTCTGGTTGTCAGAAGAGGCATCGGCCCCGTGACTTCCGAGAGAACTCGGCTTTCATCACGAGACGTCATAATTCTTCTTCCAACTCCCAGGGCAGAGTTAAAATGGTTTGAATTATTTTTTCTGGTTAGCGTTTTTTTGGCAAGTGAGATTTCAACGGAATGGGGTCGCCAACCCCATGTCCAACCCTCCTCCTTTATCCGGGCTTGGGACCGGCAGTAGCCCCTAAGGTTCTACTGGCGGAGTTACACAAGCTGGATAATGAACCAAAATTATCAAAGTAAAACAAGGTTAGGTCTTAGAGACTTAAGGGCGTGACCGCAGAGCCCAAGGGACAACTGCTTTAGGTCAGTCACATATGGCCTTTTTATGGGATGCTTTTGCAGTGTCAATTCCGCTGTTCGAATGGCCTTACCGCCGAAGACGGAAATTCGTGAGGTAAGGTGAGTTGTAACATTTGTAGGGTCAACCTTTTCTAACCTCTTCCTTCCGTGTGAAAATGTAGCATCGCTGCAGATGCTGGTTGTCCGAGGGAAACACCTTACTGCTATTATCCTCTCTACAACTTCTCCCCCAGACCTTGAATTGCTGTTTCCTGTTCTCCAATCGACATGCTTGACATTTTAGAACCTACAGGAACATATGTCCCAGCCAATATAGTGCAGTTAGGTTATCACGATAGGCAAGCCCGACTACCAAGACAAGGTAGCAGCTATGGTCGGACAAGCTGGCAAAGGACGAATATCAACCTTACAATCAGTCTCAACTAAATGTTTTTAAATTTCGGATGATATTTGTCTATCCTGTGATCTCATTTCATCATTGGAACTTATCGTTTTTTGTAGTCATTTTGGTGTGTTCTGCACCCATCCTCACAGATCATGATTGCTCTTGCCCATATGTGTGTCCACGTACAAATGTAAATTGATAGATGCAGTGGGATATACTTAAATCTGTATTCAAAGCGAGTCAGTAGTTAGACTTCAGTTGCCTTAGTGACATTTTAAACTTTTTTTAGTTAAATGTGACAATGATTTAGTGAGTTGACCTCGCATATCCACTCTTTTTTTATGAACTTTTAAAAATGTTGTCAAAGCAATAAAATTATATTAGTGTTCTAGAAATAAAACGAATTATGAAAATATTCTATTTTTAAAAACTGTGACTTTTAAAAGTTATCATTTGAATTTGGCATTATTTTTTTTTAAATGGAAATAAGCCAGCACGTGTATGTAGTTGAAGAGAAAGCAACAAATTACTATAAAGTCATCCTATTCTGGAAATATTATCGACTATATGAAAAAGATTTAAGGAATCCAAAAACACTGGAAATAAAATGTAATCATAGTAATAAATACTATAAATGTTCTATAAATGCTGTGCAGAATATTACATTGTAGTTAAGTGTGCGTTCTATCAAATGTCGATAAATTATTAGAAATGAAACTAGTTGTTGAATATTAATAAGTAATATAAAGCAATATACAAAAAAATAGTCGAAATGTGGGAGAGAATAAAACCAGAGATTTTAAATTAACTTAACTAATATGATATGCTTAACTTTTTTATCTCTGGAATTTTATCTGTATTGTGCTGCCCCTTACCAACATTATTTTAAAAGTAAATAATGAGGTTAGTTTATGCAGGTAGATATAGTTATTATTTTGTCTTCCACCTACTTTAATAGAAATTGCCTCACGCTACATGATCAGTTTAAAGCTTTCACTACCAACACATCGAAAATAAATCATTTTTACTGCTAGTGTCGTTTCAGCTGTAGAGTCGTGATCTACATTCTTTGTTTCACTTTATATTGCGTCAAAACTTGCTATCGATGTTGAAGAAAATTTGGGAAAATTATTGGTTTTTTTTAGCAATTTCTTTGATGTAACAGCAGTCAGTGTTTGGTCCTACATGGGGATGAATACAGAACTTCTGTGTCTTTTAATTAGACAAACTACTATTCAGTGTATTTAAATTCTTTAAAAATTTGAAACTAGTTAGAAAAAAACTGTTTAATGCTTCCTATTTTCGAATTATTCTTCAGTTGATCTGCGTCTGAATTGATAAAAATCAACTTGAACAAATCTACAAAATGGTGTAACTTGCAATGATAGTGCTGTAAATGAGGGAGCTTCCAACTTTGTGATTTGTCATTCAATTCTAATTATAACGTTCTATATATAACTTTTAGTGTTAATGGTCACCCTGATAAAAACCACTTGCGCTACTTGGTTTTTAAGATTATTCCATGTTTCTATACTTAATTTAACAAAGTTACTTATAAGGAGATGTTTTATATATCAAAAGAAATTTATTAGTTTTTAACTGTCCTTATTTCACTCAAATTTCTATATTGTAAAATTAGGTTTGAATTATTCACGTTTTATACTCAGATTCAATAATTCTACTATACTTTCAAGAATTTAGCTCAATTCATGAACTTTACTAATGTCAAAACGTACAAAACTAGTAGTACATGTACTATGTTATAATTCTGAGTTATTGATGTAGTTTATTATAAATTAGTGATTGATAAAAAGATACAATTTCATGGTTTATAGTTGAGTAATATATGATGATAATTAATAAAAGAGACCAATCTGAGATTAAACAACTATTTAGTGGTGAGGAATTATTTTTCCTTTAAGCCTACTAATCAAATGCAACCATCGACTGTCTCGTCGAGCGATGTTTTGTAGTGTAGGAATAGGTTGCAAGAAAGCTAGGGCCGACCAAACTAAAACATGGCAAAAATCTATGAAATCAGTGACAATTGGACTGGGTCATGTTGGTTAATGTAGGCTATCTGGTTGGGGTCTGCGAGACGAAAGTAACCAATGGTTAGAGACCTTGAACGACATGACTCAAAATCGTTTGCAATGGCACAGGGGCATCCACTCTTTGTATTCTCTCGAATTCTAATATTCAGAATTCCTCATCACCTCTATCTTTCTCTTTCTGAAGTTATTTCACTGAAGTGTACTTCTTGAATAGTATCTTCAAGCCTTAATCTTCTCCATCACCGCTAAGACTTGTACTATCTCTACCACTATGTGATTTGAAGTGACAATTGCGTCTCTGTGCTGATGTGGTATGGCAACATGAACTGATGTACTTACGTACGAAGTTCTACGTTGTAACTGACTGGCTGAAAGTTGTTTTGGAAGTTTGAATATTTTTTACTTGCTACTATCGTTTGTTTAATCGCTAGATACATTAAAAACAGTCAATTAGGAAGATTTTTATTCTGTTTCCGTATGTATTGGCATTTAATAACTGCTAAATACATTTGAAACTACTAGTCAGTCAGTTGCAACGTAGAACTTTGTACGTATGTACATAAGTTCATGTTGCTATACCACATAAGCACAGAGACGCAGATGTCAAATCAAATCCCATAGTGATAAAGATAGTAGAGGCATTAATGATAATGAAGAAGACTAGGGTTTGAAGATATTATTCAAGAAGTATAATTCAGTGAGATAAGGTTACACAATAGTATTTTGCATTACGGGGTTGTGAAGATTGTTAAGTTACACATTTTTGAAACCATGAACCGATCAATGTTAGACCACCATTAGAAACCTGGAAGCACTGGACGGTCGTTTCGTCCTGGTATGGGACTCCTCAGCAGTGCGCATCCACGACTCCTGCACCCCGCAGGATTCGAACCCAGGACCTTCGGTATTGTGCGCAGGAGTCGTGGATGCGCACTGCTGAGGAGTCCCATACCAGGACGAAACGGCCGTCCAGTGCTTCCAGGTTTCTAATGGTGGTCTAACATTGATCGGTTCATGGTTTCAAAAATGTGTAACTTAACAATAGTATTTGACTCACATTATATAACAGTCAACATGATATTCTACTTTTTTTTTCAGTCAAGTTATGAATTTCAACTTAACATATCGTAATTGGTTGGTACAATCTTTCAATGTTGATTTGCTTCATTTGTGTCCGTTAATGCTAGTTTATAATTATTGTTATCATGAATCGATTTTTTATTATGATTTGTATCTTTTTCTTTCTTTTTTCTTTTTACATATTGATCAGATTGTAAAATTAACCAATTGTGAACCATATAAATTTACGTGTACATGTCTATTAGATGGTTGGACTGCTACTGAAAATAAGTCTATATCAGCAAGGAAAGCACAAAATGCTGCTGCTCAATTAATGCTTAATAATATACATCACATTGAGAATAAATGTTCTACAGTTCCATGTTATGATCAACAGCATGATGTTGTTACATCAAAATTTGTTCATAAACAAAATTATAAACCGTGTAAAGTATGTTTAATTTTTTTTTTAAAAAAAAGTAATCAACTATTCATTATTAATTAGATTGTTTCAATTAGTATATGTACTTCACTAAGTGTTTGGAGGTTGTCAATTCGAACAAATCCTACAAGGCAACAACTGTTTTCTGAAAATATTAGACAACATTTCCTATCAGTTATTATCAATCACTTAACGTCTCCACACAGGTGTACACAATGTCGAGTTAGTTAGAGTAGTGACCGCACTGCAACTCGGTCAATATAATTCAATTTGCATTATAAGTCCAGAAAAAATATGACATTGGTTGTTACTTTAACTGATTTTGTGTTCTTATTTAATTGTTCTGTAAATTTGAGATTAATTTCAAATGAACAGTATGAATTTTTATTCAACTTATTTGTTATCAAAAAGTTAAACTATCGTGCATTTCTTCACCTTACTTCTTAGAGAGTTAAATGCTCATGAGAGGATTCATGGCGTTAGTTCTTTTAGACATAACATTTTCATCAAAGTTTTAAGCAATTATATTATGGCTATTTGATTTTTTTTCTCCTGAAATTTCTAAGTTATAATAATGATAATAATGGCTTTACTTAGTATTATATGTTTAGTACAATCTGGAATTCTCAGTACAGAATATTTCAACAAGTTCCCTTTCCATCGCATATTACTAGCCACAGCGATGTCTCGAATCGTACTTATTTTTATCTGTTGATATGCAATTGCTAGATAAAAATTAACCTGTTAAAACAAAACGGAAAGAGTTATGTAGGAAAACAAGTAGCGCAAATATTCAGTCAGTCAGGATTTGATTTTGACCAATTTGGTCTGCGTGCTGTTGCGGCTATAAGGGTGGTTATCACTTCCCGGCTGCCCACACCGTGGGAGGTTGTTCTTGAGAGACCTGAAAAGGAAGGTAGATTAGTGTTGGTCTTGGAGACCTGGCAGCGTGACCGCCAGAGTCCAAGGACAACTGCTTGAGGCCGGTCACGCACGCCTTTTTATGAAAGGTATTTAGAGGATTAGCTCTCGTTCTTAAAGGCCCTTAGTGGGCACCCTTACCCAGGGAGACGGAAATCCGTGAGTTAGGGGAGGTGTGACATTTTTAGGGCCGACCTTTTCTAACCCTTCCTTCCTTGTGAGAAGGCAGAATCGCTGCAGATGCTGGTTGTCCGAGGGAAACACCTTACTGCTGTCACACCCCTCTGCAGTAGTCAGCAGTACGACTTCGCCCTCAGACCTTGAGTAGCTGCTTTTAGTCTCATCGTTCTTCAATCGATCTGCCTGGCATGGTAGGACCTTCAGGAACATATGTTCCAGCCAGTATAGCTCGGCTGGGTCATCATGATAGTCAAGACCGACCACCACGTCAAGGTAGCAGCTACGGTCGCAAATATTCAAGTCAACATAAACAAGAAATTTCATTTACCCGTCCCCTTTTACAGTATGTGTTGCATTTTTGAAGTAACATAATTTTCTATTATTTCAATTTTTCGATTATGAACTCAATGTGTTTTTTTATTTTTGGGTGAAACACAGAATACTTTGATATGATACTTTTTACTACTATGTAAATATGACTTAAGAGTTAACTCTCTTACATCGACTTTATTAACATAATTTGGATTATTTTATCGAACATATTAATTGTGTTCTTTAATGGATAAGTATATGTCAACTATACCATTTTACAAAAAATAAAAAATATCCCAATTCATTTACAACTGAATGCACTTAGGTTTATGAAAATAATGTTTGTCTATCATAGAACCAGTTTGATTTGCCCATGTTATATATCATTACTTTCAGATCAAATTACAATTGAATCAGGATCGTGCCTTAGATGAATCAGTTCATCCTGTCTGTAGATTGGAATGTTTTAGAATTGTGAAAAATTTAGATAAAGTAAAATATATTCTCTTAAATGATCAGCTACCGAATGAAGGACATACATCTTTAGTACCCAATCGTCCGCCATTCATTTATCAGGTTAGTGTACATAAATTAAGTCAACATAATAATTGGCGATGCTTCGAACGTTGCCAATGTAACTTCCGATGTTATTCTAATGTAACTTTTTATTTGACAGTATTATTAAACTGTTTTCGTTCCACTGATATTTTTTACACTGAATTTCAACACAAAAAATAAAATTTATCTTCAAACAAACTATATTCATTTTGTAAACTAAAAATTGTTGACAAAAAAGATGCCGTTTATTAGCGTTTCGTGACAGCAACTATTAAAACTGATCGCAGTTTAGGAGGAACTTATTGAGTGAATGAAGCACGTCAGCTTCAAATTATTGATCACTAATTTTAACCCAATCACACCCACTTCGTTTCTAACTTTCAGACAACATCCCACGATCACACATCGGAAGCATTACCCAAATTGAAACAAACAAACAAACTTGCAGTTGATTACATGAGGTTTTATTATGTTAAAGGTTATGAGATTGATATTCAGACCTGTGTTGTCTTACATTATCAGAAATGACTACAAAATGCAATAGTCGTTTGATTTTCTGTATTTCATTCATGCTTTTATAATCAGATGCATCATATATATGCACATCACAATTCTATAAATCCTCTTATTTGTTTTCACTGTTTAGCTTGAGTTCTCAAACGTGTGTATTCAAGGTCCTAAAGCGAATAATAAACGTTTGGCAAAACGACTTGCTGCTGAATTACTCCTTACTAGATTGGGTTTGTCTAGTGAAAAACCATCTAATGTGAAGAGTGTTCTTCGAAATAAAGTTATTGAATCACCTAACAGTAGCAGTAATACTATTAGAAGCGTTTCAGAAAATCTGTCCTATGGTAAGGTAGTAACGTTCTTGATGTAAAGTTTTTTTATTTTTCAGTAAGTGTGAAAAAAGGGAAACAAAATTATTCTCACTGATGTTTTGCTGGTTGGTGCTAATCTATATTTTTTTTTATCAAAATAATAGCTATTAACATTGAATAGTTTTAAAAATAGTAGAAAAAACTTTGTTTTGTTTTTCCACTGATTTAAAAATACGAATTTTTAACTTTGATAACGTGTGAGGTTCGAATTTCAAAACGGCAACTAACTAAAATGGACTTCCCAACAAACAACCGATTTACTTACTTATGCCTGTTATTCCTCGTGGAGTATAGGCTGCCTACCATTTACCAATAGACCTAGACAAAACAGTGCTCCATTTACACACTGTGAGGAACTCTAGCGAACACTGTGTTTCATAATTCAATCAAAATGATTTGATCAATTGTTGTGAACTATAAAAGCCTTAATTATATATCATATACCAGTGGGATTATCGATAAAGTGCCAGTTTCACTTACTATTCTATTTTATATATGAAATATCATCCACCTACTTTGGCCTAGACAATCATTACAATTAGCTCGAAAGTTGCTAGATGGTCGTGGAATTCTTTTTCTGAGTTATAAACTTTGGCAACACAATCAGTAAAACAGTTTGTTTTACAGTTAACATAGCAGTTGTATAATCAGTGCATGCTAAACAGG